ACGAAAATAAATATCTCCATCAGGTGGAATACCTGGTAGGTCTGCAAGAAATACATCTAGAAACTCCCTCACTGCTGGAACTGACTTAATAGTTGGAGTATCAATACTAAAATCTCTCACGAAGGCCATATATGCCAAACATCCTTTCATAACCATCCATTGAGCTTTTATAAATAAAATCACTCTACTAAGAGTGTGACCAAGTGAAGCATCCATTGTAACCTTGTCAACCCCGGCATAACCAACATCATGGTCTTAGCGTGACAAACAAGAATAACATGGTATGGAGATAACCAATACATACCCAAAATTACCTCAAAATCAACTATATTAAGAAATAGATGATCAACCCTAGTCTCATAACCCCAATAGTAACCACACAAAAATGATACACACAATCTACCATAATAGAACTACCAACAGGTGTAGACACATGAACAAGAATATCAAGGGAACCATGGGGCATATCCAAGTAATGAGAAAAGTATGATGACAAATAGAGTAAGTGGAACTAGGGTCATATAATATTGAAGCATCCCTGTGGCATACTAAAACAATACTTGTAATCACGGCATCTGAAGCAACTGCCTCTGGCCTGGCCGAAAATACATAGGAACGGGCATGTCCTCCCCCTGACTGACCTTCCCCTCCAAGACGGCCTCGAACAAACTAAGCTCCACATCTAGCTGGTTGTGTGCTGTAACTGTTGATGCTAGAACCATGGGTTGGGTTCCCTAACGCGGTACACTACTTGAAAATCTGGGTCATTTCCTCTTGAGATGACCTAAGTCTTCACACTCAAAGTAACCCTCCTCTAGCGAGGCTTCTGGCTTTGTGACTACCCCTAAAAAGCTAAATAGCCGCTCGAAGAACCCAAAATAGATAAATACAATGTGAACTTTAGGCTGGCAATGCACTGAAAAATGATTGGCTTTGGCGAGCACTATATGAACTGTGGCTGATTGAAGAACCACAATGAACCTGTTGTGCTAACTGAGCAGGCCTAAAGAAAGGCCTCTATTTTGATGTCCCTGGCCTCCAGATAACGCACCACTAAAACCACCTGAAGCACGGGCCCTCTTGGAATCCCGATCCACTCTCTCCTACCTGCGAATATGCTCCAAGCACTTGGAAATCTCAACAGCCTGATGGAGTAGTATCAGTCTCGGCCTCTCGTGCCATCCCATACTGAATACCAAAGTTGAAGCCCTCAATGAACCTCCTAATCCTCTCCCTCTCAACAGGGATCAAGAATATAGCTTGGCGTTCCAACTTCGTGAACCTCATCTCATATTGAGGCGCGATCATATCTTCCTGGTGTAAATGCTCAAACTCACTACGCAACTCATCTATGCAAGTTTATAGGATAAATTTCTCTAAGAAGAGAACTAAGAACTAAGGCCATGTTAGTGATGCGGTGCCAGCTGGCCTACTCAACTCACAGGTCTGCCACCAATTGTAGACTGGCCTTGTCAACTTGAAAGTAGTAAAGTCAACTCTATTTGAGTCCATTAGACCCAAAGTGCATAGAATCCATTGACACTGATCAAGAAAACCCTGTTCATCCTCAGTAGGATCTCCACTAAAATGAGGAGGATGAAGTCTCTGAAATCTATCTAGCCTCTTCTGCTCCTCATTAGTCAAGGATAGTCTAATCTCGGTCAGAGCTGCAACGATTGGCTGTACCGACAAAATTGTCAACGTCTAATAACCCTAAGTGAGCTGCTTTGGTATGTGTGCAGCGAGATTATACTCTCCTCCCCCAACCTATAAGGTAGCTGGTGCAACTAAAATCATACTTGTCTAAGCCAACTCGAGTACACACTCAAAATCTGAGCCAAAGTCTCCTGAAGACCAGGTGTAGCAATGGGTCCCCCTGGAGCTTGAATCGGTCCTACCAGCTTAACATAATCTAGAACCTGTTCTTCGACAGTAGCGGCTAGTGGCTCCACAACGGTTGCTCTAGCGAGGCCTTTAGCAGTAGCGCATGCTCTACCCTTACCTCTGCCTCGGCCTCTCACAACCTGTCCTGAGGTAGTAGCACCTGCTCAGCTGAACTCAATGAACGTTTCCTCACTACTTGTGAGAGAATAGAAGAGCAAAAAATCAAACTTCAGAATAAACAAATCTGCATGATAGAGAATGAAGAAAGAGAAGTTTTCCTTATAGTCAGGTAGCATTTCGAAGATAAATACAGACGTCTCCATACCGGTCTGCAAGACTCTATTAAACTTGCTCATTAGCTGTAGAACCTATAAACCTAGGGCTCTGATACCAACTTGTCACGATACAAAACCATTAACGGATGTGGTAGCGCCTAACCCACTTTCTAGGCAAACCAAATCATTAAGTAATAACGAAATATAATAAAAAAATTACGGAATTAAATAAGGCTGAGAGTCAAGTAACAATAGATAAAGACTACAACAAAACATAAATCCCCCAAAATTTGATAATACCGAGTTTTGAGATTGAATACAAGAATATGAATATGATAATACAAACCGTTGTCTGAATTAAATACAGTAATAAAATGGTAGAAGGAGATGCCAGGAACTGCGATAAGGGTACATCTCTGCCTCGGTCTCCAAGGCAACATCAACAATCTCCAAAAGAGGCTCAACTAAGTCCAACTCTTGGATCTGTACAATCAAGTGCAGATTATAGTATAAGTACAACCAACCCCATATAGTCAGTAAGTATCATGACTAATCTCGAAGAGGTAGTGGCGAGAATCACCAATGATACGCAAATATTCAAAACAAAGCATAACATAGCCTAAAGACTACCCCGGACATGGATAAACTCGGTGCATGCACATGGGCTCGACCACTTGCATGTATGCCACTCCTAGCACGTAGCCAACATCAACAATTCAATCAGCTAGTCCCTCGAGCCAAAGCTAGGCAAGATACTTACCTCAAACGAGCCAAGTCAAAAACGTCTTCCCATGCCAATCGACCTCTGAACGACTTGAATCTAGTCAAGTAATACATCATGGTTTCAAATAATGTTAAAAGAAATAATTACGAAGCATAAATGCTCGATCTTTAATCAATTGCACAAAGCCAACCAAAAAATCACCTGGGGCCCACCTCTCGAAACCTGACCAAACTCACAATTTCAACTATCCATTTGAATATGAATCCAAATATACAAGTTTTATCCAAATTCGACTTCAAATTTGGGTCCAGATCTCAATTATTCACCACCAAAATCCCAAATTTTCTCTTTCAATTTCACATTTAAGTATATTAACCCATGGGGAAATCAGGTCTAATATCAAAATTAAGTAAAAATTAATTATCCTCCAAAGTATAGCAAAAATCCCTCAAAAAATCGTCTCCAGCAGAGTTCCAAAACTCCAAATAATAAAAAATGAGCTAAACCCTTCGAAATATAAGATTGCCTAGCAATTTTCGCATCTGCAGATAACATTCTCGCATCCGCCAGCCCCAGCAGGTGCGATCAAAATCTGCACATCTTTGGCCTTCTCTCACCTGGCCAAACTTGCAGGCAGTGGTGGCAATTTCCACCCAAAATCACTAAACCCGCCCAACCCAATACATGATAAGCCCATATTTAACCGCCCATATTAAATAAGAATAAAAAATGGACTAACCATTTTCTAGCCACAAAAATATAGATTTACACAGGTTCATAGCGGGTTGAAAATGGTAAAATACGAATGAGAGAAATCATGGTGGACGCTTCAAACTCCCCCGATAGCTTGGTATTAGACGCAGGCTTTTAGATATGGTTAATAATTACTGTTAATAAAATTTGTCAGGAGCATTTATGGGCTACAATGGTTTATGTTTTGGACCTAATGCTCCCTATTTCTCAACTTATTAGGTGGGATCTAAATAACCAAACAGTTAATGTTTTTACTTAAATATCATTTTTTACATTTTTACAGAAGTTGTTTTTTTATGGTATGTCTCACATAGATATATTTTTTATTTAAGACATGTTTTTTTTGCTAATATGCATATGTTTATTCAATCATACTAGTTTTTTGCACTAAAATTCAGATAATCACATGGATATGTAAAATATTATCAATGTAAAACCATATTAGCCTCTTATCAATAAAAATACTTCAAAAATATTATTATGAAAAACTCAATTATCATAATTTATTCTAAAATTTATGCTTATTCATATTTATATTTTTATCATTTACCAATTTGATACAAATTATACATGTGATGTTAATTTAAGAATATTTTTGTCATTTATTTGAAAAATTACAAAAAATTTCATTTATTTGGAAAAATTATACATGCGATGTTGTTGTAAGAATGTTTTTATCATTTACTTAAAAAATCTTCACTCTAAAAACCTTTTATTCTCTGTTTTACAACAAGATGAAATCGAAAAGCAGACGAATTTTTAATAGTTGATTTATTTAGGAAGAAGGAATTGTTTTATTTGTAGAAAAGAAAGGAAACTATTTCCCGTAGAATCCATAATTTGTTTATATCTTTCTTATAATTATTCAAACTAAATTTAAAATCTACGAATTTGATGATTCTTGTCTAACCTAAAAATCTCTTTGACAGGCCAAGATATGCTTTTAAGTACGAAGCCTACCCAACCATCCACGCAAATTATCAAACATCAAATATACTCACGGGGGACATCAAACAGGGAAAAGGAGGCTCAATTACATAAAACGAATGGTTGGGTCGTTACCTTATTACACGTGGTGGGTGGCTTAAAAATTTAATTTCTAAATACAACCAAATTGTTAAATTAACTTCTTATTTTATTTTTAATAAAATGATTTATAGCTATACATATTTTTATGATTTGTTTTAATTCATGAATCTTAAAAGTCTTATTTTTCTTTTTTTAAACTTATGCTTAGTTAAAATGTATCACATAAAATGGGACATAATTAAACATTTATTTTTATAATTGGTAATTGGTGTACATATTTTTTATTCTCGAATTCTCTGGAGCATGGTCCATGGAACTAAAGGTGGACCTTCCTTTTCAACCTTTTTTTCCCCTGCCTCGACTCTTCGCGTCTTCTTCTCCCTCCACACCATTAACAAACCCAGCACCGTCTCTTATCTTCAAAACCCTAAATCATCACTCAAAATCTCCCTTAAACCCTTTTATAAAAAGCACTAAACTTTACCCAGTTTTCCTAATATTCTTTTTAAAAAAATATTTGCATACAGTACAGTACTCCATTTATAGCAAAGACTCAAACTTTCTACTGCTAAACCCACTTCTTTGACTTTTAGGATCTTTGAGGATCCATTTTCTCTTGTGGGTCGTTCAATTTTTTGCAAAAAGAAAATGGCTGCAAATCGGAGACGGGTAGGAGATGATCGGTTTTATAGTCCGCCGGCAATGAGGAAGCAGCAAAAATTGAAAGCAGCCAAGTCAAGAATTGAAGCGGAGAGTAGAACCGAGTCTGATGATGGAGCATCCTCTACGGCGTCGTTTTCATCGATTAGAGTTGAGAATTTGACCAATTTGGATCGCTTCTTGCAGCATACCACTCCTAAAGTTCCTGCTCAATTTTTTCCCAAGGTATCAAATTTAACAGGGAATACTAATTTTTTTTTTTATAATTAAATTGTTTGTTATTGTTTGTGTCCATTTTTGTGCATTGATTAATTGTTGTCTAGGGGAAGATGTTTAAGCAACTGGTCACTTCTTTGTTTGCCAATTATTAGCCATTAAATTAATTAATATGTTTTATCCTAATTGGCATTAGATTATGGTATTGGGGAAAAAAGAAACTATGCCTTGAAATAAAGTTTCTGGCATTTTAGGTGTTTGTGAATGTTTTTAGAGCTTGTATTGTGATATTGTCGAAGTGAAGGGTTAAGCTTAAACTAAGTATTGACATTTTACACTATTGTATATGGGAAAAAATGGTAATGAGGAGAACTGTATTATTTAAAGCCGGTAACTATAGTTTACTTCTAATATATAAATAGTTTACCTCTAATATATAACTACAACTATGTCTCCGTCCCAAACAAAGTTGGGGTCGACGATATGAATCTTTATCTTTCTTCAAGCTCGACTCATATATAATCACGCCAAAATTCTCAGGAAGTGGACATACCATTGGTAAGTCAAGGAAATTTATCGAAGTGCACCTAGCGTCATGTGCTCATGAATACGACCATGTTAAGATGCTTGATTGTGTCATGTGTGTGTAAACCATCTGCATGGATAAGGTATTCCAATGCAATGGTTTTCTGCAATCTCTTCTTTCTTCCATAAATTATCCAAGTGAATAATGGCTTAACAATTGTCTGACATTTCTTGGTGATTGAACTCTTTAAGTTTAAGTTGGCTTTCCTTTATACCTTTGAGTACTGTTTGTTAAGCTCAATGCCTTTGTGTAATTAAGATCAAATTCCCTCATTTGTTTAGTGGCTTATTCATAATGCAACAAAGCAGAAGTTTGTGGAAAACCAGTTTGAATCTTTTGATGTCCTGATACTCAAGTTAATCCAGTGCATTTGTATATGCGCAGACAATCATGAAAGGGATGAGAAATCTTGACAATGATCCACTGCCCTACTTCATCTTGGGTGATCTTTGGGAGTCTTTTGGGGAATGGAGTGCGTATGGGGCAGGAGTTCCTCTGGTTTTAAATCAGAGCGATTGCGTTGTCCAGTATTATGTGCCATATTTGTCTGGGATTCAACTTTATGTAGACCCTTCGAGGTCCTCTATCAAGCAGAGGTAAGCTTGTTATGTGTACTTTCTGCCTCTTTTCAGATGACGAAAATAGTAATTATTCATGCATATTGGTCTTTGAACTACTTCAAGTGTGACTTTTGGGACAATGAGGGGGGGGGGG